ATTTTACCGTTTACGTGACATACCAACTCTGATCAGTCAGTAGTCAAGAGATGCTCCTGGGGGCTGTTAATTCTCCAGAAATGCAGCCTGCCCTACTACAGAAGAAATGCAGGTGCTGGCACTAGCAAGTTGCTTCTGCGTGTACTGTGACTGAAAGGGCAACGGCACATGGGCAAGACAATGGGACATCTACTACAAATCCCTACTGGATGCTAAACAAGGCTTGTACTAGATTGGATCTGCTGTTTGGTAAAACTACTTTTGTGCAGTTCCCACTGTGTCCCAGCACCATGGATTTGCCTGTACACTTGAGAACTATATACAGTTACTCAGGGTTATTTTTAATGAAAAATTGGATTTCTGTGCTTTTTTACTTTTTATCTTAATTCATTTTTAAGAATGTGACTTCTAATAAAAATTGAGTTAGCTTTACAATTATTTTGAAAATTCAATTCCTTATGACTTTAATGTATGTACACTATGGAAACATGCAAAGGAAGCTGTCTAATGTGATGTACTCTCCTGTGGCAAATTGCACAGCTTTGTGGAGAACCATAGCCTAACTGTGGGCACTTGGGATGTAATAAATGCAAAGGGATTCTATGCAACTTGGCCTTGAATGACACTTCCAATTTTCAAAACTGCTTCACATTATACAGTATGTGTTTTTACATACAAGTATTCACTCTCTCCTGTTACCCATTTCATTTTCTTATTTTCTCATTTAAGAACACAGAGGAAAATTATGTGGCTTTACAATTTTTAAATGGTTGTTTAAAAATTTGTCTCAATTTCCTGAACAGAGTCAGGTTCACTTTCAATGGTAAGTTTATCTCAGTGATTTTCAAAAATAAAACAAATTGTATTTCTGTGTATTGGTATAATTAGTTAGGATTTGCTATGGATGTTAAAGTACTGTTAACAAATAAAAAATTCATCACTTGAATGTTATTGAAAACTATTCTTCTCCGTAGTAGCCTGCATTAATATATTTTGTGTTAGGGTTTATGTTTCTGTGAGCAATCTGTTCTGTATTGCATATGCCTGCTATATATGCATAGCATATGTTATATGATTGTCTCCTACTTTTAGTAATTTATCTTTAAATAACCTTAGATTCAAAAAAAAAGTTGTCAAAGTAATATACAGAGTTCTCATTGCCTTTCACTCACCTTCCTTAATGGCAACCTCCAACATTAGCATGATGCAATAATTCAAGGTTGATTCTTCAGCCAGACAGATGTGAGGGAAACAGCTACAAAATTTATCAGCTGATACTGACGCTCTCCTCACACACACAGTACAGCCATGGCTCCTTGGGTTAAAAACGGGATGTGAGGGAAGTGAGAAAAAAAATGCCTTCTATGGGGCTGTCGCTGTGGCATAGAGAGTGACAGCATTCCATATGGCACTGGTTCTAGTCGCAGCTGCTCCACTTCTGATCCAGCTCTCTACTATGGCCTCTGAGGGCAGTGGAGGATGGCCTGGGTCCTTGGGACCCTGCACCTGCCTGGGGGACTGGGAGGAAGCTCCTGGCTCCTGGCTTTGGATTGGCTCAGCTACAGCTGTTGGGCCAGTGGGGCCACGAATGGAAGACCTCTCTGTCTCTGTCTCTGCCTCTCTGTAGCTCAGCCTTTCAAATAAATAAATAAATCTTTAAAAAATATCTTCTCTGTCCTTTGGAACTCTTAAATAAATGCAGTAAATACATACACAGCTGTATGCACAGACACTTTGAGTGGCATCAGGATTTCCTGAAACTTTCTACCAGTGTTTTCTTTTCACTTCAGTCATGCTGCCATTCCCCTATGTTACAGCCAATCGTTAGGACTCCAGCTGACCCACTATAGACTAGTCTATTCTGTTCTGGAATCTTGAGAAAAGCAGAGGGCAACTGAGTTGAGCTTTCACGGTAGTAAGGATTTGTCTACATCCTTGATATGACTCTGACTCCTGTTCCCATGTCATAAAGTAGGTGGCATGCGGTAACTTTTATTGTGCAGAAATCCTCAGTGGATGTCAACATGCTGTAAAAAGGTGATGAGAAATTCTAGTACTGTGGGTTGAGGCTGCCCAGCATATGACAACAGAAAACTGCTAAGGGCATATCACTGCAACACCAGCTATTGTAACTAGATCAATGCTGTTAGGTCACTGAAGAGTCTTATAATTAGTAATAACTGAAGTTTATTTTTAAAAGATGATGCTTGGTTATCATTTTCAAATTTCAGAAATATTTATAAATAACATTTCTTAAACCAAAATACACCATATGGGTTTTCCTCATCATCTCTCCTCTGGAAATTTTCTCATGCTTCTGATTTTCCAGTACAGTTAAAATCCCCACAACACTTGTTTAGCTCCTATTTCCTACTCACTTTAGTCCAATAGAGCAGTTACGAGGGGGGCATTTTTAAATGTAAAATGCTTAAAATAGCTGGAAGTATTTTTCTTTTAGAAAGTAAGAAAATAAGTCCTTTCTCAGTGTCCCCAGGAGGATTGGTAGCAAGATCTCACCCCCACCCTGGTGTCCCCTGCACCCTTAGATGGGTACCTTCAATCACCTGCACACATCTGCTCTCCAGGATGATGTAACTCATTTCTAGATTACATATGCAAGCTAGTATGATCTAAAGACTAGGTATTTATTTCCAACAGTTTGCACCTGTGGTTGGTTGAATTGGAGGATGTGGATCCCTCAGATCTGACCACACACAAATGACATCTGCTACCTCTCACCACTTCCTGCCACCAAAATTCCAGGACATACATCACTCCACATAACAAATGATCCACTCGAACTAGGAGAGTGGACTCAATGGGCAGCTGAAGGCACTAATGTGTTGCAGCCCTCCCCAGGAATGTTTCAAATTCTCTCTGCATTTGCATCTACGTTTTGCTCTGTGCTACTCCTTATCATTGCTCCAACTGAGTTGGCATACTGTTTTTTAATGACAGGTAAAAATGAAGAAGATTATATCAGATATTTTGAAACAATAATCTTTGCCTGCATGACTAACAACTAGCATGGTAGTCCAAGGTTGCGCAGACAGTTGCTGGACAGATGTCTTTGATGCTGTCTTTTCTGGATAAGGCTGAGGTAGTTTGTGTAATGTGACAGTTCTGGTAGAGTATTTTGTGATGGTCACTATAGGAAATTAAATATAAGTTAAACATAACAATGCTTTCTTCATAACATCTGTACTTTATTCATGTTTTCTAAATTAGCATTGACTCAGGCAACTCTATTTTGATTCTGACAACTTTCACATCGTGAAGTTGTAGAAGGAGATGGAGAGGATTATAATTTGCTTTCTTCAAAGGGGGTTCCCAGGAAGTATTCAGTATGAAGCACAATCCAAAGAATACATATTTAGTGATTTATCTAGAAACTTTCCACATGGAGCCTGAATGTTTAATCAAGCTGTAACTATTCCACTCAAACAAAACACAGAACTGGAAACCTTAAACAAACAAACCAACAAAGAAGAGTGAAACAATTGAGGAAGGATTTTAATTTTTTTATTTTTATTTATTTATTTTTTTCAGGTTTTTTTTTTTTTTTTTTTTAACAGGTAGAGTGGACAGTGAGAGAGAGAGACAGAGAGAAAGGTCTTCCTTTGCCATTGGTTCACCCTCCAATGGCCGCCACGGCTGGCGTGCTGCGGCCGGCGCATCGCGCTGATCTGAAGCCAGGAGCCAGGTGCTTTTCCTGGTCTTCCATGGGGTGCAGGGCCCAAGCACTTGGGCCATCCTCCACTGCACTCCCGGGCCACAGCAGAGAGCTGGCCTGGAAGAGGGGCAACCGGGACAGAATCTGGTGCCCCGACCGGGACTAGAACCCGGTGTGCCAGCGCCGCAAGGTGGAGGATTAGCCTAGTGAGCCACGGCGCCGGCTTATTTATTTTTTTTTGACAGGCACAGTTAGACAGTGAGAGAGAGAGAGAGAGAGAGAGAGAGAGAGAAAGGTCTTCCTTTTCCATTGGTTCACCCCTCAAATGGCTGCTACGGCCGGCACGCTGCACCCATCTGAAGCCAGAAGCCAGGTGCTTCCTCCTGGTCTCCCATGTGGGTGCAGGGCCCAAGCACTTGGGCCATCCTCCACTGCCTGAGGAAGGATTTTAAGAAGAAACTTAATTTAAGGAAGAATTTAGCTCATTTCCCAAATCCCATTATATAAACATCCTGTTCACACCAAAAAAGTTGTGAAGCTGAAATCCAGAAATCTGCACTTCCTAATCTGGCCTCTGGGTGTGCTGTCATCTTCTTAGTTATCTTTACATGAAATTCAGTAAATACATACACAGCCGCAAGTACACACAGGGAGACAGGACTGGAATTTCTCCAAAAAATTTATGAATTTACAAAGAATTTAAAAAAAGAAAAAAATAAATGACAATTGGCAAAAAACACATACAGCAAAATGGCATCATGGTACTTGGGTGTATGTGGTTATGCGTGTTTAATGTGTACTGTGTACTATGTGTTTGAACATACACAGATACATTTCTTAGTCCAATTTATGCTGCTATAATAGATTACCACAGACTGGTAAATTATAAGCAATACATACTTTTTTTGGTTCATGTTGATGGAGGCTGGGAAGCTTAAGACCCAGTTCTGATGAGGGCATTTTGATGTGATATCATATGGCAGAAGGCATCACATGTCCAGAGAGCATATGAGAGAGAGAAAGAGATAGAGATAGAGATAGAGAGAGCAGAGAGCAAGGGCGAGAGAGAGGAAGGAGACCAAACTCTCTTCTTTAAAACTAACCTGCTCCCTTGGCAATGTCATTAACCCATTCACCATGGTAGAGCCCGCAGGCCCTCAGGACTAATCACACCTTGAAAGTCTGATCTTTTACCATTACAATGGCAATTCAATTCCAATAGGAGTTTTGGAAGGAACATTCAAACCACAGTACTATTCAACATTTGTGTGAGGTATTGTAGTAAATATACATACATTATCACTCTTCATTCACCATCCCATATAGCTTATTTTTTAAGATTTATTTATTTATCTGAAAGGCAGACTACAGAGAGGGAGGGGGAGAAGTTGATCTTCTCTCTGCTGGTTTACTTTCCAAATTGCCCCCATACCTAGGGCTGGGCAAGCAGCCTGAAACTCCATTTGGGTCCTCCACATGGGTCACAGGGGCCCAAGTCCTTGGACAATCTTCTCCTACTTTCCCAGGTTCTTTAGCAGGGAGCTGGATCAAAAGTGGTGCACCTGGAACTTGAACCAACACTCACATAGGATGATGGTGTTTTATCTTTGTTTCTTGTTTAAATGCACTTAAAACAATTGCATTATTTCATTTTCTTAAATTACAAGAAGAAACTCCAATCTGGATCTCTCAGTAGAAGGGGCGGTGGAAAACAAGGAGGTACACAGGATTTGTTGTTCTCCTGAAGTCAAAAGCACATGGGTGGGTGCTGACTCTGCAGGTTAGATCAGTGGATACTATCATGCCTACTTGGGAGGGAGCAGTTAGTCCCACAGTTAACAAGGGCCACTTGTGTTCTGAATTTCAAGGCAGCTTAGTAAATGTTTAAGTCCAGGAACCTAAAGTCAGATTACCTGACAAGGCATTCCTGTTCCTCCATTTAGCAGCCAGGAACTCCCTGCTCCAGTTCCACATCTTTTCAGTGGGGGTCCTCACAGCACCAACCTGATGGGATTAAATGAGTGAAAACACAGAAAGCACTTAATGCCTGGTGCCTGCAAGTATCTGGCACAGGTCAGCTGCAAATCTGGTGCTTCCTAAATAAATACGTAAAACCATGAACAAAGCCTATTGAGGTGAACATATCTAATTGGGAGAGAAAGAAGTGTTATTATGTTTATTAGCATCATTCATCACAGTCTGTGTAGACAAAGAGGCTGAATAATTTCTGGCAGTTATAGGCAGACCAGTTGTTCCTGTCCCTCCACTCTTTGGCTGCTTTCTATAGATTTTAGAGGTACTGTTGGCCTGAGACTTCCTGCTCTTTTCTATTAGGCTAAATCATGGATTTGTCAGGTCGGTTTTTCCCCTACTGTTCTCAGTCATCATAAATGGTGATGTGTATGTCTACGGCACATAAAGGTGGCACGCTCACATCACCCTTGATCACTGAGGTCTTAGAAGTTGGGGTAGGAAACAAAGGGTTCTGACTCTATTTTTTCCCCTTTGCCCTGCTAAAGGACAAAAGAATTCAATGAATTTGATCTTGAGGGTATTCCTGTGTCCCTGCTACAATTTCAAAGATACCATACAAGGACTTTCCTGGGAATTATTGTTTTAAAGTTGTAAACACAGGTCTTGAAAGAAGGATTCCGAAAGAGCCAGTTAATTGCAACACAAGTAAAAGCAGGACTACAGTTAATGCTCAAAGAAACAGCTTGGGTAGTTTTTATGGATGGAAGAAATGTTTTCCTTCTGTTACCGACCTGCCATCAAGAACCCGGGAGGGCAGCAGTGGGTTAGAAATATCAATTTCTGAAGAAATGGCCAAATTCCCAGGAAAGGCTCTTCTGAGACAATTGGCCCAGAATCTTGTTCCTTTTTCTCAGGCTTGCTGCCAGTTCCGTTCCAGCAGGGTCCAGCCAGGGCAGTGCACGCCTGAAATCTTGATGGTGAGCCCTGTGAAACATCCTTCTCCACAGACCTGCTCAGCTGGGTTCTACTGGATGTAAGAGGGCTTGGGAGTTTCCTTGAGATTCCTGGGAGAGTTTGTCCCGGATCTTAACGCTTCCCTGATCCGGTTTTACAGCCAAGCCCTTTACAAACAATTCATTTCTCTCTGGGAAGAAATCACACGTATCCTTATTCCGGAAGCACTCTCCAATACTAAGAAAAAAAATACTCGCACCTTCCACTTCCAAACCTTCTCTTTGGGCACGACTGGTGAGGATTTCCACGAGGGTCTCCTCCGGGGTTCCTGGTTTGTCCCTGCGCGTCCCTCCCTTGCTGCAGCGCCCCTGGTCCACCAACTCTTCCCAACTTTCCCTCGCAGTCCCAGAAGGTTCACCCTCCGGCACCCGACTGCAGTGGACCGAGCGACCTCAACAGGGAGACCCTGCGGTGCTCGTCCAGTGCCAAGCTTCCTGGATTCCCCGCCCCGCTCCTGGCGCTCTGCAGCGCTCATCCACCCCTCTGTTCCCTTTCTCCCCAGGACACCAAACCCTCGCAACTCCCACCGTCTCCAGCTCTGGAAAATCTTAGCTAAACCTTGTGTTGTCCGGCTACGGGCACCCTCCCCAGCCCCCACACAACCCTCCTAGTGAGAGAGCCCAGCTGGAGTCTCCCCAGCTTTACCGGTCCCTGGGGTCTCCGTGCCCGCCGGCCACCTTGATTCTTGCTCATTCATATTCATTCTCATTCTTTCTTGCAGTTCCCTCTTCCCCTCGCCCTGCAGACTCCTAACAAGGCAGGCCGACCCTCCCCAGCGGCACTCCCTTGCGTTCATCCCCTCCCACCGTACCCACCCGCGCGCGCGCGCACACACACACCCGGACCAGACAGCCCACTCCACTTTCCAGACGCCCACCGCCTCCGTACTCCCCTCCCCTAAGCAGACATTCACCCACTCACCATCTGTAGCCTCCTTCCGCCCCCCGCCCCTCCCCAAGAAGCAGACCTGCACTGTGGGAGGCAGGGACCCCCGCCAGACGCTCCGGTAGTGCGCGCCGCACTGACCTCCGCTCGCCCCGCCGGGAAACTAACAAAGGCGCGCGCGAGGACCTGAGTACCGGGAGCGACGAGCTGTGGCCGCGGGGCCGGAGAGCCTGGGCCGGGCCAGGCGAACGCCGGCGTGGGAGGCTGTGGAGTCAGGAGGCGGCGGCGACGGAGGACACAGATCAGTCTCGCCGGAGCCGCTCGGACGCCGCCAGCACCATGGGCTGCTGCACTGGACGCTGTTCGCTCATCTGCCTCTGCGCGCTGCAGCTGGTGAGTGCCCCGGCCGCCTAAGCCCCGGGACCGGTCTCCGCCCCGGGACTGGCCTCCTCAGCTCCTTCCACTGATCCACAGCTCCGGGCTTGGGGCGGGCGGCTGAGCCGCACGCTCCTGCAGACTCCCGCCGTCCTAGCCGCCGTGGTTAGCTGTGCGCCGCGCTCCGTCCGTGGGCACTCGCGGGGTCGTCCCTCACCCCGTGGGAGGGCGCGGTCGTCCCACCGGTCCTACGCGCTGGGGTTCACGGCACCCACGCCGGGCGTCGCCAGGCGGACCGGAGAACTGCGGAGGCGGCGGGGCAGTGAGACATTTCCCCGCCCCTCAGTCGGACACTGGCTTTGACAACCTATGCGTCTTGTGCAGAAGTTACCCAGGGCTTGTGGGCTCTTCTAGTCATGATTTCTAGTGGCGTTGCTTAATTAGAAGAAGGTGGTGAGAATGTCCTGTTCCAGGGAGAGCGAAGCAGCCTTCACTCTGGGTTAATAGAGTGCAATAGATGGTTCTTACCTTCTTCAGGTTGGAAGGTGGTGGTGGACGAGAGTCCGGGACCTTGGGGGAAGGCGTCTGGCCGTGTGCATTGGGGGAGCAGAGCAATTTGAGCCCCTATCCTTCCAATTCCGCGACAGGTTTTTGCTGAAATGGTTCAGGCAGTCAGACTGACTGCTGTCATTAGGGAGAGGACAGAGTGACGGGCTCTTTTGGCACAGTGCCTTGAGTAAGGAGTGCGTAGAATGGAAAGTTAGAAACTAAAGTGGAGAGAAAAGGGCCTTTCAGCTCGGAGCAAATACTCTTCTAAATTCCTTTGGAAACCGGACTTGTCCTGTGGTCTGTTCCATAGTCACTTGAGGTCAAGGCTACAGGCCTTTTGTGAAAGACTTTTGTGTGTGAGAGGTTAATAGACATCTCCCTTCATTATGCTTTAGAGGATTCTGTAGCTTTCTTAGAAGCATTGCATTTAAGTAACAAACGCCTAACCAGCGAATTTACAAGCAAGAGGGAAGAACTTCAAGGAAGTTTTCTGAGTAATGTCAACCTTGCAAGACTCATTAAGTGAAGGATTAAATAATGCACTTTAGTAGTTAGTCCTTGTTCCCATAAAGGCTTTAAAATGTTCTCACTTTTCTCTTGCCTCAGTGCCCCAGGCTCCTATAAAAACCTGGCTTGGGGTATGCTTTTCATTGTTTACATAATGCATGCATAATTTATATATTCATAGGTTTGAAGTCAGTAGCAACTTGTTTTAGAGTCTATTGAACAGCCCCTTCTGTCTTGTGAAAAACTTAAATCAGACACATTTTGTAGAGTTTCCTTGAAAGAATAATATTAAAAATTCACTCAAATATGAATGCTTCCTTTCACTGAGAAAAGCAAACCAGAGGATAATTTATACTTTGGACCTTGGAAATAAACGTGGCTTTTAGGTTGGAAAAACTGAATGTTTTGTCAGCCCTTGATTATGTAATATTGTGGATAGGCATATTAGATGAACTAATCCATAATGGCATAGTTTTGGCTTTACATGGAAATAATGTGAGATTTCTATGCAGCACATCTATCAATGCAATCTATCAATTTTCTTAATTGACATTATAATATTTTTCATTTGGCATTATAATACGTGTCATGATGTTGTTTTGTGAGTTTCATCCATCAGCCCAGAATGCCTCCACTTCCCACAGCTCAACTGGTAGAAATGCAGTTTGTTCATTGAAATGTATCTTAAAATGCCATTTTCTCTGTAAAGTCTTCCTTGCTGTTCTGGGTGAAATCACACACTTTCCTTAAATTTCACAGAATTTTGCTCTTGTTCTGTGATGCTTTTCATCCTCTCTTTAATTTTACATTTCTTACGCATAGCTCCAATGACTTGACTGTAAGCAACTTGAGAATAGGAGCCAAATGTTATTTATCTTTTCAAATCCTGCAGAGTCTTAGTGTTCACATTAGGAGCTGGGGCATTCTTGCTAAATGTATGATAATGCCCAGCATTGGCAATCCATGTTGAGTTTGACACAGACAGTTCTTTTGACTTCTAAAATTATCCTCTGTGGAAGACACTCATGTCAGTAATTTTTGGATGAGGGAGTTGATACTCACAAGTTATGCAGTTTTAAAATAAATAGTTTTTGGATGGTAGAAACAATAGGGTAATGACAAATGTTTATCAACTGGATCTCAAATGAAACTGTATGCATAAGCTATATAGCATTTTTTATTTATCACTTTGCTATATACCTGATATTTATATAAAGGAGATGTAGCAGGCAATCGACAAAAAAAGTATTAATAAAATATGCAGTGATCTTTGGTGTAAATTTATACAGTCAATCAATTCTGGCAGAATCCTTTAGGGATTCTGATAAACACTTGACACTCTACTTTTTCCATTACTGATTGGTAGTTAATGTTTTTATTCATTTTAAGGAAAAAGAAAAAAGTGAATAAAGAAGATAATGTTGTAATTTTTATCAGTGACACGAATAAAATCTTTGTTGAATTAGATAATAGTTTTCAAATGCTGGAAAATAATTCCCTCAATTTCTTTTGTGGTAATGACAATGTAAAGGTTACAGACATGACATACATTTATTATGTATTATTAAACACTTAGAATTAAAATACTAAGACTATTTCTCTAGCAGTTTTTTTTTAAAGATTTATTTTATTTATTTGAAAAACAGAGTTACAGAGAGAGGTAGAGACAGAGAGAAAGAGAGAGGTCTTCTGTCTGCTGGTTCACTCCCCAAATGGCTACAACAACTGGAGCTGGGTCAGACTGAAGCCAGGAGCTTCTTCTAGGTCTCCCTTGTGGGTGCAGGGGCCCAAACACTTGGGCCATCCTCCTCTGATTCCCCAGGTACATTAACAGGGAGCTGAATAGGAAGCAGCTGGCACTCAAACTGTAGTCCATATGGGATGCGGCGGGCGCTGAAGGCCAGGGCTTTAACCCGCTGCACCACAGTGCCAGCCCCTGTAGCAGTTTCTTAAATCTAGATAATCGACTAACAATAAATCACATCTTGGTTAATAGAGTTTTCCAATTTCTAGGGTATAAATACTCCCATTTTGGTCAATTTTATATAGTGATTCCATCATAGGAATAAAAAAGTTATAACTTTTTTTTTTTTAAACTTTTATTTAATGCATATAAATTTCCAATGGAAATTATGGATTACAATGGCTTCCCCCCGATACCGTCCCTCCCACCCACAACCCTCCCCTTTCCCACTCCCTCTCCCCTTCCATTCACATCAAGATTCATTTTTGATTATCTTAATATACTGAAGATCAGCTTAGTATACATCAAGTATGGATTTCAACAGTTTGCTCCCACACAGAAACATAAAGTGAAAAATAATAGATGATTTTTTTTAAAATGATGATGAAATCAGAGCAGACCTATTGTCATGTTTAATCCCAGTGAGAGTCAAGTTGGGAATTGATCATTTCTTTTTTTTCTTTTTTTTTTTTTTTTATTTTTTTACAGAAAAAAAAAGTTATAACCTTTAAATACAATAAAACAGTTAGGAAAGAATGAACTTTAAATATTTTGAGCCTCTGAAATTTGTATAATTTAATTTTTAATAATGGTTATATTTAACAATTGGCTTAAAACATTCCTAAGAAACTAACAAACCAGCTCTCTGGGCCCAAATAAGCCTGCTCCAATATGCCGCTGATGGTGGCCTCTGCTTCTCTTATCAGATGCTGTTTCTGCTGAAGCCAGTTGAGAGGGGATCCTATTGGGTGATCACTTTGCTGAAGAGACTGTCCATGGTAATGACTAAGACTTATTAACCATGAGGTCTCAAAGGAGATGTTGCATTAGCTTTTCCTAAAAGGTAAAGAAACAGTAGAACGGTTTTTGTAATCTAGCTTTCTCACTTCATCTGAACTACCCTCCAGAGTGAAAAGCTCAGACTGGCGGATACAACTGGAGAGAACTGACCATTTTTGGCTCAAGTCTGTGAGTGAGCTTCAGTTTGCCAAGTCTCAGGCCTGTACTTTCCTCCTTCACCTGCTTTGGCCTTCTACCCCAAGCAAATGTGTAAAACTGTGCAATATTCCACATTCATACTTCCGATTTGGCTAGATAAAAAAGAAAGTGAACAGCATGAACACATGCTTCTAGAAAACTGTATGAATTAAATAACTTTCAAAAAAGTGATTCACTTAGTGTGTCACTGATCCAGCAAGTCCTCCAAGAATCTTTAAATAAGATTTATGTAAGGATACTTGTGGGCTTGCTTCTTTCATAATAACGTGCATTCTGTTGTCAGATATGTGTAATCTAGACCTAAAAAGAACACCTGATCATATGTTTTAGTAAGCTATTTTTAGTTACCATGTTTAAATGAGCCATAATAGCATGTTTAAAAAGGCTAATGTTTACCCCACATGTTATTTCAGAACCAGCTTTTCAGTGCCTTCAGTGAAGTATTGAACATCATTTGGCAGGCATTGTTCCCACAGAGCCTTGGACATCTTCCCAACAACACAGAGATCCCACTCCCAGGCATGTTCAACAAAACTGTCTTCGGGTGTTGTTTTCATGTCACCTTGGATGATGTTATACACTTTTAAGGTGAAGGTCATGTTTACTATTAGAACTAATAATCCCTGCAGCAAAACTCAGTTTCCCATTTGACATATTTATAGTGATGGAGATTCAGAAAGACTTTTTAAAAATAACCAGTTCTAAACACTTTGATGGGCTTTATATTTTTATTTTAGACAGTGCCCTCTTAAATTAAGGAAGATTAGTGATTTTTTTTTTCTCATAGTGAAAACTCAATTTACCACATTCAATCCATCTTGTGAGCAAAGTCACCTGTGACCCTACAAATGCTAAGATAAAATGTGATGGAAGAGGTCTGAATGATGATGGTGTAGCTGGAATGACATGTTTTTAGCTCGGTTTATGAAACGTGCAGGTAACCTGTCATAGATATTGGACAACAAATGCCTAAATACATCACTTCTACTCTGTGTATTTA